AATTACATGTAATGATAAAATTTGGAGGTGCACCTTATTTGGATTGTTTAAGGTTGCAACCTTATAGAAACCACACCCAAACAAAAAAAAAGTTTTGAAGTTAATAATATGATTTAAGAAGTTCTTTTTGGGGGTTGGGGGTAGGAGGGATGCCTAGAAAGTCGAGTCCAGGGTAACTATAATTTTCGTTCTCTATTCATGTTGGAATTGATATTGTTGCACATTCAATATCTCAACATAGAGAAAATAAACATGCCTATGTGTGTCCCAAACAAAAGGGCATTGGATACTTTAAGACTATTTATCTTTGGCATAAGGAGATCACAATTACTCCTAGCCATTAGATGTCAAATTGAATGGCTTGGGATGTATCACAAAGTTTAAGATTTTTTTTCATATTTTGAATCTAGTCAATGATACTATTACAACAACCTAATTTAAAATTTGATGAACAAGAGTGGCTGTGATATTCTTGTACCCAATAAAAAAATAGTCTCTTTATATACTTTTCCCAAACAAATAGAGAAAAGGACAAAATGCTTTCCCTTGTTCTCTATTATGATACCCTAAAGCAATTTGTTGGGTATGCAAGGTACAATGAGATAATGAAGAAGAAAGAACAGGTTACATAGAACGAGAACGTATATTCTCAAGGGCTGAGAATGGGTTAGATCAGGTTAGGATCCACGGAGATTAAGATTTGGATCCGGAAAGTATCCATGGAATCTGGATTTGGGTTCCAATCCTATCGGATCCAGAAACAAATCCGAATAGTAATTATGGGATCAGATCTTGAACTAATTGGATTTGAAAAAATTATTTTATATATTATTTTTTATATATATAATAATATATGTAGACACCCATTTTAAAACTGACAAATTCTGTGGTTTTTCTAAACCCATAAGACCACACTTTTTCAGTATACCCCTAGACCATAGACCACTATAGTCCATACGGCCTGCCTTGTGATTTTGAATCCTTCAAAATGCCCAGTTTTAGTAAAAATAGTTATTAAAAATAGTAAAACACCTCTTTTTGACTTAAATTTTGGTAGGCAGCATCAG